TTGAAAGGGTACAACTACTCTACCAAATTTCTTTGATAAAGAAGCCCGTAGCCCACAATAAATTTGTAATCGTGGTTGGTTGCTGAGAGCTCTGGTATTGTTTGATCCTTCTTCTCTGTCAAACGTCTATCGTCCTTTTATTTTACTTTCTTGTAACACTTCTAATCTTCCGCATTTACATGATTTATTCCTGTTTCAAGGGCCATAAAACTCTTACTAAAGTTAAGCATAATTCATATTCCTATAGACTGGGATTTGTGAACAGCAGGAATGCGCTTTCACTACTAGACTTGCTCCATTACTCAGTTGTTTTTTTAAAGATTTGCCTACTTGTATTGTTATATTTCATGTAACGGATTTTAAGTTTATATTAAAACAGTTAAAAAGGGAGCTTTACACTTCCGAACCTTATTTTTCAAAACGTCACAGTTGCGAACCTATTCAATTTTGAACAAATTTATACAATACACTTGCCAACCTATAGTGCTTGAACAAAAATAATTTTTAAAGCATCGCATGAGCAAACCTAACGGGCTGCCTTGTATCAAACTCAAAGTTCACCTAGTACTTTAAATTAATTTTATATTTTTGAAATAATTTTTAAAAATTCACTTCCATCTTTATTCTTCTCCTGACATCAAGGAACATTCACGTACATTTTCAAAAGTGTAAAAATATTAACATTAAAATTTAAATTTAAATCAAGATAGGAAACTCAAGAGCTCACCAGAATGATACAATTATACGATCGTTAAAACGCGCAGCGCAATCTTAAGATTTAATGTTTGATTCTCTCAATCCTTGGCTACCCATCACATCATAAAAGTCCCTGGATTAGGCTTTAGCCGTCCCCCGAGCAAAATTCAAAATTCCTAACAAAAACTGAAAAAAAACAACATAAAAACACCATGAAGAATACCTTCGAAATCGGAATGTTGCTGCCTGACGTGAAGCAGGGCCATGCTGAAATAGGAATACTGTCACATACGTAAAAATCAGTAGCACTGTTGGTTGAAGAACCAGTAGCCGACAACTCATGAGATCTGGCAGAGAAGAAAACAGAAACAGCCAGACACACCCTTACACTTTCTTTGATTCAAAACGCACAGACGATGTCTCTCCTTTGAAACATACCAAGGAGGTTGAGATCTGAATGGAGAGAAGTAGTACTTGGGCAATCTACTTCCTCTTTGTCTACCGCCCAGGCAAAGCTGAACCGTTCATACTGCATTAAGATCGTCTGTCAAGACTGAAAGGGCCATCATCATTCCTGAAAAGGGTCATTCGTGTCTTAGAACAAAACCGATTATGATTTACTACTAGAGTGTGAGCCCTTGATCCTCAACATACCTCTTCCCCTCCGCCCTCAAAACCGCTCCCGTCACACACACACACACA